TTCAAGGGAAGTAATTCTGCTTAAAAGTTCATTTTTTCTAATAAATTTTGTTTGTGGTGTTTTTAATTATTTTGGCATAACTTTTGATATCTGAAATTGTTTATTAACTTATACTAATAGTATGTCATATTTTATTATTGTGATTTATTTATTAAAAAAATGTTGTGCATTTAAATTATTATTCAAATAATTATGACATTGAGATTTAAATATAAACCAGGCTAGCGTAAAAAAATAAATATATTTTATTTTTATTAAAGAAAATAAACCTACAGGTGCATTTCTCATAAGAAATGCTCCCGTAGAAGTACCATATGGGAGTGTTTCTAGGGAGAAATGCTCCAGTAGGATAGGCCTACAGGAACATTTTGGAATTGCTCTCATATATACAGGAGCATCTATTTTGAAAGTGTTTTGAAAATGCTCTAAAAGGGTCAAAATAAACACTTTGAAAGGCATCTTTTTGTTGTAGTATATTATGATTGTCATATCTCACTCTTAACATTGTCACCATGCAATCGGAAGTGATTTGGTTCAGGCAAAATGGAAAATGAAGCCCATGGATTGAAAATTACAATTTAAACATTGGGTTACAACTCATTTAGTAAGTTTAGAATTTTTGCTGAATTTTAAAAAATTATAACTAGATCTAGAGAATTCGTATATGACCTAAAATTCTATTAAAAGCTCTTGAAGTCCTTTACTAGAAACAAAAATAGTTTTGGCTTTTTCTCATGCCAAAAAATACAATTTATTGGTTTTCTATTCTTGCTCTGATTCTTGGGTTGAATCTGTACCTTAATTTTAAAAATTCATAACTCATTCTATAAAATTGCTTTTGATCTTATTCTTGGTTTAATGTAAACCTTGACTAATTCTCTTCAAGAGAAAAATAAGAAACAGGAATTTAATTGAGCCAACTAATACAGTAAAAATATTCCCTGAAGTTGCTCTGTTTCCAAGACTGATTCTGACCCTTGCCTTAGAAAATTAATAACTTAAGCTACAGAGCTCTAATTGATTTGGTTTTGAACTTTCTAGGGAGCTTGTGATGCCTAGATTATGCTAGAAATTATATCCATTTACTATAAACGTTTTAATAAATATTAAAAGACCTCTCGAAAATCCTGCATCAAAACAGCTTGATACTTACCTGTTTAAATCATAGCTCCATGAGATTTCTGTTTAAGGATGTGGGTTTTGCGGCTTTTAGAGACTATTCATGAGAGGTGGAAGGTTAAAATATATATGGGTTTAGGTTTTCTAAAAACTTCAAGTTTAAACCTTTTTTTTTAACTCAGGGATTAATGTTTTTTTATTTTTGAATTATATTTATATAATATGTGTATATCTAGTTGAAACCTATATATATATACATATATGTTATCTATCGTTAATTTGTTTCATCCTTAATTTATTTTTATACATTTATCGAGTGGTTTTAGTTTTTTTTTTGGCCTGTATAGTTTGTTTTATCTAATTTGTGATATTCTTTTATATCTAATCAATTTTTAAATCTCTCTCTCTCTCTAATTTTTTGTTATCTTTTATTCCATAAGATGATATTTTTAGTATTTTTTTAAAAGTTGTTGCATGTATGGATAAATTTATCAAATAACTTTACGTTTGCTTAATCTGACAAGTTTATTAATTATTCTTCAAGATTGATCTTAGATGCCTCTTTTATCCTCCTATGCCTTATTTATTTCTTTTAGCCTATGCTAGACTCTCTTGAACTTTAACTTGCTCATTCTTCAATTATGGACACTTCCATTAAGTCTCTGAAAACATTATGCTTTAGTAACAAAACATGTTTTAAATTATTATTTGGTGCTTGAAGGTAATTCTATCTTTTCAAGGAACTTGAGGTGCTCCTGATAAGTTGGGCTAAGTAGCTTATTGAATTATGGCATATTCTTGAGCTTCTAGGCCCAAAATTCTTGATGTTACACTAGCAATGATTTATTTATTCATATTTCCAAAGGAAAAAATGTCATTGGATTTTATTAGTTTGCATTTTTATTGGTCTAAATTTCGGGTTAGAAGAATGAGACTTGAAATGGCAAGCTTTTGCTAGATGCCCAACGATTTTTCCTATGAAATTGTAGAGATAAACTAGGAACCTCATGAGTCTAAGCTTTAGAGAGTAAGGAATACCATGTTAGGCTAATTTACCAATAAAATTTGAGCAACCTTCTAAATTTTTGTCCAAAGTAAAAACTTGACTGTCCTCCACTGTTTTTGACATAAAATCGAAGCAAGGATCTAAATCTCTATATTAAGGCTTTTATGACAATAAAAGATGCCAAAAGGGATTCACTACGTTATTATTAGATTTGACGATCCGTTTAGTAAGTAGAACTATTATGAAAGAAAATATTTTCTTTTCTTGTCATTGATGGACATCTAACCTAAAGTTTACTCAATATGAACAAATTAAATTAGCTCATAAGTGAGGTGTCACTTTTGCAAATAGGCTCATCCATGCATTTTTGGATTGAAAATGTAGTTTGTAGAATCTTCTTCAATGTATCTCTTGAGTTAAAAATATTAAAAAGAACAATCACTTTGTTCCATTCCTTCCAAATTAAATTATGTTGTATTAGTTTACTATAATGACCCTGAATTTTAAATTAAATAAATCCTCTTCCAATTGATATTTAATTTATTTATTTTAATTTTTTGACAAATGAAGAGTAGTGGCCTAGTTAAATTTATACTAGTTATTTATATGGAGGTCTAAAGTTTGAATCTTACTTGAGCCAAAGGTTTGTTTTATTTTCTTATATGGGAAATTACTAAAGTGCCATTGATTTTTTATTATAAAATATTATAATAACAATTATAAAAGTTTGGTGGGGTCTCCTTTTGAAGTTTTCCCCAACAAGCTTTGGGTCTTGTTTTGTAATTTTATCAATCAGCATATTATTTCATTCTCTCCATTCTTCTTGTCGGTTAGAAGCTGCAGGACACAGAGAGAGAGGGATCATTCCCATCTGTCTCTATTAAATAAAAATTTTAATTTATTTTATTTAATTTAACATTGCATTTGTTTAAATAAAAAGTTTAATTTATTTAACAAATGTATGCACTCCTTTGTTGCTCACAAGTATCATCAAACATGTCATATATGATATAACAGTCATTACAACCACTACATTTTCTTCCATGTTTGGTGAGAAAACATGCATACAACATACAAGTAATGTGCCAAGCATGTTTTTGAAAGGAAATATACAACATAAATTGAAAATAAAGTATTGCTTGTTTAATGATGCCAATGATGTTGCCTTTGCATAATCATGTTCTTGATCTTGTTTAATGACACAACAACATCTGTCATATTGCTTCGCATTTTAGGAAAGTCAATGTAACAATTTAATGCCAATTCAAAAATACTAGATGTAGAAGTCAATATATCACCAATATATTGATCATCTCCCTGCAATAAATTGGAATCTATGACATTAATTATTTCATGTAGCATTGAGTCACTTACCCAACTCTTCAAGTTCAATCCTGAGACAAACATGTCTTCTGTTGGTTTTTTTTTGTGTGAACACTTCCATTAATATAATATAATCCTATAGTTATACACATCTACTTTTGTTGAAACAACTCCAGTAGATCCATATTCTGCGTAGAATTGGATTCAAGCACCAAAAAAATCATTTTATTTCTCATAGTCATAATTTACAAACTAGAATAAACTAAATACACATTTAATTAAGATAAATTGTTCAAAATTGATCATTTGTATTGGTGTTTCTTGTGTAATCATTACACTATTATTTTTATATACATTTACAATATAGTAATCCTTGAGAGGCTTGTTTTTAGATTCAACAAAAATGCATGCTATAGTGATTTGCATCCCCTCTCTCTCATATCATGTACATACACATAAAAATAATTAAAGCAACCAAGCTCAATGAATGCAAAATATTGAAAATAAGAAATCCTTTTGGTTGCCTCTTTTATGAAAGAACCTTCCTCAAATAAAAAAATTAGAATACATATATATATATATATATACATATATTCGAGTATACTTTCTCTCTATATAAGAATTTGGAGGAAATGGTTTCAAGTATTTATTTAACAAGTGACTTTAATGAAAATCAATTAAACTTCTTATCAATAGAGACTAAATCAAGAAGATCTAATGCTTTGTGGACACAATCATAGTATTGCTCATAGAAAGTAATGAATATTTTGTATATTGATTTTTCTATGATATTGCTAGTTTAAATAATAAGTGATAGAGTATGAAAGATTTCATAAGTATCATTTAATAAGGTGACTCCAATGTAATCTAAAAGAAATTAAAGAAAAAAAAAAGCATTCTCAAAACATAAATGCAAAAAGAACATGATGAAGCTAGGTTTAGAACAATTACCAGGTGCTATATATCCAATTGTAGGTATTGTTTCTGTATGTATTTTACATTGCCCTTCATCTAAGAGTTTGGAAATCCCAAAGTCACTCACATGAGCAACCATATCACCATCCAACAAAATGTTACTTGGCTTCAAGTCACAATGAATTATTGGTGCTAACAAGCTATGATGGAGATATTCCAAAGCAGATGCTACATTTATCATTACATTTAGCCTTTGTAAAAAATCCAAACAATAATTGTGAGAATACAATCATTTTTCAAGACGCCCAATAGGCATGAACTCCATTATCAAACATTTGAGATCAACATTGGAACAACTACTTATGATCTTCACCAAATTATAATGACGCATGTTACGCATTGTGTTGCATTCCACTTCAAAGCACCTTGACATTTTTTCAAAATCAAAATTAAATACTTTGATTGCAACCATCATCCCATTCAAAAGCATTCCTTTGAACACTTCACCATAACTCCCCCTTCCAAGAAAGTTACTATAATCAAATCCATTAGTTGCTTCTAGAATTTCAAAATAAGAAATCCTCCTTGGCCCTCCTAAAATAGATAAGCCCCTCTCAATTGGTTCTCTTAAATTTGATCATCTTTGTCTTACAAGAATAATGCCCAAGACAATTAAAATTATTGACACAACCATGGGTAATATGTATTTTATTAAAAGTGATTTTGCCCATGAACATTTTCTTCTTCCTTTTTCACAGCGAGGCACTTTTAGTTGTGGATGGCCACAAAGAGCTTCATTCATGATGAAAGATTTAGCAGTCAAATTTGCAAAAACTCCACCACTCGGAATCTCTCCTTGTAGTTTGTTGTAGGAGAGGTTGATATACTTAAGATAAGTAAGTGACTCCATGGATTTGGGGATCTCACCAGATAAATTATTCCCAAAAAGGTCCAAATTTACTAAGCTCAGCATATTTCCAAATGATTTTGGAATGTTTCCTTGCAAATTGTTATGTGCTAAGGAGAGATCTTGCAAGTTCTTTAGTCCACCCAAAGCTGTTGGAATATTGTTTGAAATATGATTTCTTGACAAGTCCAGTGATATAAGAGCATTCAAGTTTCCAATACTTGAGGATACATTTTCAACTAAAATATTGGAAGATAAGTTTACTTTCAATATATCCTTCAAATTCCAAAAGGAGGAGGGAATTTTTAAAATTAACTTATTAGAGTCCAAGTAAAGTTCTCATAAAGAAGTAACATTTCCTAAACAATGTGGCATTCCTCCAGAAAACTTGTTTCTGCTTAATGATAAATAGGCAAGCTTTGTGATTTCACATATCTCATCAACGATTAGGCCATGCAGCTCATTACCTTCAAGACTCAAATATTGAAGATCTTGTAAGCCACCTATTACTTTTGGAATTGATCCTGTCAAAATATTTTCTCCCAAGTATAGTTCATAGAAACTAGTGAGATTCCCGAAATTTGGCGGAAGATTGCCAATTATAGAATTGCTTCCAAGATTTAAGTATGTCAAGGTTGAAATGTTAAAAATGCTGGACGGAATAGATCCCTTCAACTTGTTATACGACAATTCTAAGTTCTCAAGCTCATGGAGATTGCCTATTTCCATAGGTATTAAACCTATATTCAACATATTAATTTTAGTGAAGTTATTTAAAGTGAATAATAAAAATAGTAAATAAGACAAATACCTAACAAATGAGATGTATCATTGTCCATACTTCTTTATATATTAGGTCAGTCAAGTTCTACATATAGAGTTTAGCTTTCTCCCCACACGCACGCACATACTAACAAGATGGACACTTATCTTTGACATAGATTCTTTAAATTATTTTTATAAATGTAATTCAACTTATAAATAATTAAAAATAATTCTGTTAAAATAAATAAAAGATAAAGACTTCTTATTTATTTGTACCATAGTCGAGCATTGTAATCTAAATATAAAAAATAAATCATACTCTTGGTTTTTTGTCTTAAAGATGCCTCCACTCCAACATTTAATGGTTGAAACTGAGAAAACTTAATTAAGATTTAAGATTAAATTTTCAATTTCAAATATCGCAATCTCTTATGAAATATCTTTGTAATGGGGTAATTGACAAAAAGAACTAAAAATTAATGTTTTTCATTTTGCACAAAATTAAAAACATGTGAACTTGAAAAAATGATTGTAGCAATTATATATAATTTTTTAAACTGTTAAAACATGTCTGCAATGTTTAGGTTTTTAAGATCACCAATTTTATTTGGAATATTTCTTGTAATTAAGCAACAGATAAAATAAACATATATAACAATGCTATGCCTTGTTGAATGAATACCTTCCAAGTTATTGGAACCCGCATTTAACCCTTGAAGCATGGTCAAATTCCCAATACTCTTGGGTATATGACCTGAAAGAAGATTGAGACTTAAAAGCATAAGGGACAGTACCTTAATTAAAGCACACATTCTCTAACGCCATTTAGAAATCACAAATTGGCTAGGCATAAGGTATTCCCAATATTTTCACTTATTTTAAGAAAATACTATTACATTGTTAACTTTATTAAAAATCCAAAGATTCTAGTTTTATTTGTTTTTTGATAATGTAGTTTTACCTTTCTTAAATAAACAAATTATTCTGGAACAAAGGAATTAAATAATTTTTTAGAGAAATAATACTCATCAGGCTTATGTCTTAGACCAAATAGCCTAGTATTCTAACAGGGCATAACATATGGTATCATAAGTTAAGTAAGACCCATCATCATCATATAAATTGTATGAGAATAAGACCGTGTAGTTTGCTTAACTAAAAAAGTTGTTTTTGCGGTGACAGTTCATGAGCTAATAGCATGAGCTCACTCTAGATCCTGAACAACTCATATGATGACATCATATATATATATATATATTGTAATATTGAAGGTCATAATTTTTAAATGTCCATTATCTTTGCAATTTCTCTAAGAATATCTCTAACAATATTATTGTAAAAGAACAAACAAAAATGAAAATAAAAAGGCAATGTTTTCATTTAAAATGATGCAGAGAAAACCATTTAAGACAAATACGTGTAGTAATGCATGGCCTATTGAGTTTTTACGTATTTAATTTTTTCATATTTATCTTAAAACAGCTTTGATAGGGGCTACTTGTATATTTATTTATTTATTATGAAAATAATTTGATTCGTTTAAAAAAGAGCTTCATTTATGTAAAAATGAAAAAAAAACATTGTTTATTTTCATTCTGCCTTTCTTCTACTCTCCCTCTTTCTTTCTAATAGATGTGAAATCTTTTGAATTATTACTTGATTTAACCCGCTTATTTCAAGATATGGAATTGTTTTGAAAACAAAATAGAAAATTGGATATATAAAAAATTATTTCAATCAAAATATATCATTGAGGTTCATATATACAGGGGTACAAACAGATAGTTTTTTAGTATGTTTATAGAAACTGTTTTTAATTTAGGCTCATATACCCGGTATGTAATATGTTTGCCATATATGAGGGTGGAAGATGGAAACAGGGCAGTTGGCTGTGAACTGATGCAAGCTTTTTGGGAAAAACAAAATTTAAAAATTATATAAATTAATTTTTTATTTAATAAAAATGATATCAAATTTTTGTTTTACTTTATATTTTTTCCAAAACAGGTTTGATACGGGTTCCTTAAATTTTGATTACTTTTATAAATATGAATTAATTTGTCAAGGTAGATTTTCGTTTAAATGAAAATAGGAGTTAAAGAAGTCCTGTTTGTTTTATTGTTTGGATCATTACCAATGTCAAATGCATAAAAGTGCAATCAAAATATATCTGACAAGATTGAATTTAGAAATTTGACATAGTGATTAGTAGTACATACCTGTGAATAAGTTGTCATGTAATACTATCCTTTTGAGCTCCCTGCATTGTGTCCAACCAGCTGGTATAGATCCAAATAATTTGTTGCCTTGAAGAGCCAAATATTGTAAATTTGGAAGTCCATTGCACATATTAGAAGGAATGCCTCCCAACAAATTATTCCAACTTAAATCAATTTTCCACAACTCAGACATATTAAAGATAGCTGATGAAATTTGGGCACAAAACTTATTTTCGTCTAAATATAAAAGTTCTAGACTTTTAAGATTACCAATCTCTTCAGGAATATCTCCTACAATGTTATATAAAACAGATTCATCAAATTTATTGTAGTCAATCAAAATATAACTCTTGAAGTTGGAAATAATATAGGAAAGTAAAACGTAAGATAATTTTTTAACACTATTAATAACTAATTCTTCATCAATATTTGAATTAGAAAACGGAAGTCAAAAAAAGATAAGATAATGAAAACACTAAAGGAGAAGAACTTGAGATAGAGCTATAACATAGACAACACATAATCCGATAGTTCAATGTCCATCTCTCATCTATCTCTATGTAGAGAATTAAAAGGAAAATCTTCATTGTCTTGATGTGTGAAAAATAAATAGAAGAAAAAGAAACTGTTGAGAGATTCAAAAGAAAAAAAGCATGGGGTTAGAAGGGGAAATCTTCATAGAATCATCAAGAACAGTATTATGTTATTACCTATATTCTTTAGCCAAGAAAACAGAGATAAACAGAGTAAAGAATTCTTGTGCATGTGAGCTACTAATCTGAATGCATAGTTAAGTTGAAAATTTTGACAGTAAGGCACCATGAGCTATTGGGTGAATAGTTAAGTTTTCAATGTTAATTAAGTCAAAATTATTATAACAACAAAAATAGAAATCACTGAAAATTTTCATTGCATATAACAACATCATATCTCGGTCCTGTCTAAAAATTGGCTTCCCAAGCTAGCATCCCTAAAATTAAAAGTAACCAAATTTTTATGCATAAAGAATTATTACAACAGGAAATTTCACAGATGCACAAACTTATTGATACCTTGTAATAAAACAAAAGGTGAAAATGAAAAATAAAGTGTATCTTGTTCATAGTAATTCTTAGAAAATAATCTAAAAATGTTGCAAATAAGAACAGAATATGAACAAAAAGAACTCAAATGCTGCCGAAGAGAAGACATCCTAACCAATGTCACTAAAGTTAACAATAACTAAAGTCTCTTTTTGGCTAACCAAAACTAAAGTATTTTTATGAATAAAGAATTATATAGATAGAATATTTTGCACGTACATTAATATAATAATAACCCAATAATTTTAGTAAGAATTAAATTTGATGGCAAGGTATTTTAAGAGTATTTTTATAAATTTTGAGGTAAATCTATCATGAGGTTCTTTGTTCAAAATCCTTGTTGTGAAAGAAAAGGAATTTTATTTTTTTGATTCAGCCTTGAGAAATTACTAGATTTGATGGACACCAAAGTGTTGCAAATTCACAACACAATTCTTGTGAATTTGGAGCCATGAATCTGAATATGCAGTTGAGGGATCTAAAGTATAATGATCAAAGATAGTGAAGATGTAAATAAAAAAAAAGTTTGTGGAGTATTAATTGAATCAAAATTAAAAAAAAAAACTCATGCATACCTTTCTAGGTATTAAAATTGTAATTATGTTTGAAGCAAAAAAAAAAAAGGTAGAGATGAATTTAAACTAAAAAAATGAGAGAAATTTTACTAACACATTTTCACTGCACTATTATTCATATATATATATATATATTTTTTTTTTCACAAATGGTTTCCAAACATGAAAAAACCTTCTTGAAGCATGTTCTAATTAGAATGAGTTAATCAAATGATTGTCAAGGCATTATTCTTACACATGATTTTTCCTGGAAATATAATTTCATGCCATGCGCATTGTAATTCGGAAAAAAAGAGAGCTCATTTTAGTACTGATGCATAATAAGACATCGTAAAAACAAAACTGAGTAGCACTTACATATTTTGTTAAATAAGAGCTTGATTCAATAAAAATAAGATAAAGGTTTCCCATTTTGTCTAAGAAAGAAATATATCCCAAGGAATATATAATACAACAAGATAGATTAAAGTACAGGAAATTTGTATATAAAAATCGGAACATAGTCTTGTCACCCCCCCCCCAAACAATTCGCTAGATAGAGGCATGAAGAAAAAAGTAACATAACAAGATAGATAGCAAAAAAATTATATGCGTTTTATGCATGATGTACAGGTTAGACATTAAATTAAAAAATTTTAAAATATTATACTTCATTATTAAAACATTTAAATCTAACTGATAAAATAAAGTATGGCTTTTTTGGCTTTTATATATTCTCTTTTACTCTTCAATTTTTATTACATATTTTGTTGAGCTTCGCATAACTTTTACGAAAAAATTTAGACTATACGTACAGTGATGGTTCACGTTTTCAATTTTTTTTTTTGGGTGAAATCACATATTTGATTTTAGATAGGAGGAATTTGTCCTTGTTGTATTATTCATTTGACAAACTAAGAGCAACCGGGTTAACTAGTAAACTTAAACTTGTCTTTATGTCTGGCCGAAAAACTTGTATCTCAATTATCAAACAACTGTGATAATGATTGGACATTTACAGTACTTCAACATTAATATATAAATCTATATATACACACATTTCAAATATTATCTCCAATTTTGAAATTCTAATGATTATGTAAATAATAACTTTCATTTCAGAGAAATTTTATATAAAAATATTACATATTCAACATCATTCCTCAATTCTAACTTTTTTTATTTTTTCCTCAAAAATTGGCTTTCCAAACAAGCAACAAAGAACGACTTCAGAGATTGAGAAAAGAGAAGTCAAAAGAAGATAAGATAACAAAAACAGTAAAGGAGAAGTTGAGATAAAGCTACAAATTAAAGACATAGACAACCCATAATCTGATAGCTCAAATTAAAAGGAAAATCTTCATAGAATTGATTATTGAAAAATAAATAGAAGAACAAGAAACTATTGAGAGACTTAAATGAAAAGAGCACGGATTTGGAAGGATAAATCTTCATGTAATCAATAACATTATTGGATTCTTACCTCTGTTTTGAAGTCCAAAAAACAGAAGAATACAATTCTATAATATTTGATGGACACCAAAGTGTTGTAAATTTCACAACACAATTCATGTGCATGTAAGCCACAAATCTATTTGTGTAACTAAGGGCTCTAAATTACAACAATTAATGATGACATGATCAAATGAAAAGTTATGGTCTTAAAAAATTGAACTGGACCAGCCAATTTATTTGATTGAACTTGAACAAGCTCTTGGCCGATTCCAGTACAATGATCAAAAGCGGTCACTGAGTGAATTGGGTATTGATCAATGACCCAAAAAGTGATATGATGTTACAAATGAATTCTTACATAATACATGAAATAATTATGTATTACTAAAATAACAAAATCAACAGCCAAATTTTGAAGTCTCTTTATCTTTCCTACGCCTTTGCCTTACACCTCATATATAAACAAATCTTGGCACTATGCATTGAGGAATATGCTTACCTCTTTTTTTCAGCCCATAAAATAGAGATGTTGATTCTGGTTTATAGGGACTAAAGTTGTCTATTTTCCAATTTTTTAATTCTTGTTTACAGTTTAAGGAAAACAACTGATATGAAGATTTTATATTTTAATATTGGTGTAGATATTAACATTGTCACACTAGTGATTATGTTCCAACGGACAAAGAAAGAAACAAAAGGAATAAAATGATCGATAGTACCAAACTATCATTTAATAATAGTATATCAAATTTCCAATGCATCTTTATGTTGCCAAACAATTAATTAAAACCCAAAATTGAAGTCATATCAAAAGTGAAAAAGAATAAAGCATAATATACTAAACAACTAGTATTAGACAAAAAACTTTCTTGATACCAAGAGACAGATTTTATACTTTTAAAGTTTCATGAAACGTGCTAAAATGATGCAATATAACTTTGAGATAATTGAGAATATGAAAAAAAATAAAAAAAAAGACCACTGACTTTTGGAATGTATTCCATGGGAAGATAGTGCTATAAGTGAGGGAGTTAACTAGCACATGCAAATCATTTTACATGTGCCTCTATTAAACTTGCAAAAACTAAAATCCCCTTTTGTAAATTCAATGGAAAAAAATAAACATTATATTTCAAACTAAAAGGACATGCAGTTCAATATAAATTAAATATATTGAATCATAACACGATTCATAAGCCAAATACATCATATTGGCTTTTTATACAACATATATTATAAATGGATAAATTTTGATAAAACAAATATAATATGCCATTTAAATTTCACTTATATCGAACTTTATCACTATACTGAATGTTATTGAACAATTTTTCAAGAAAATGTAACATCCAAAAGACTAAATATAAAATATTAAAGGGAATTATGTTAATGTCTTTCTAAAATAAAAATACTTAATAAGTACATGCATATTTTAAGATATACCTGTTCAAATTTTAGTTTATACAAATAGATTGATCCATGCAATGTATAGAAAGAAAAAAGTTATGTTGTAGTGCAATTGAACTAACAAAATCAATGATAATTTTATTAACACTTTGATGTCTTTGATATGAAATATGAACATATTTTGAACGTTGCCTCACATCTAGAATTCTAGCAATAGTAATGTATCAAAAACCATTAATTATACAAGAATTTAGATTGACCGATTAATGAAATTTAAAATTGGAATTACAATTAATATCATGGTAGCTAGTATAGAGTGGTGACATAATCTAATAGAAAATGTGAATTATGTTGCTAATCCTACTGTAAAACTTTTGTAGTGCCACATATTATTTATGGTTCATTTTATCCGACTTTAAAACTACAGTATTTCAATAATTCTCTAGTTCTAATCATTGCAAATAGGAATTAAAAAGAATCACTCATATATAAAAATAGTAGTTCTAGGACACACACAAATGTATAACCAATAGGAAAAATTGGTAGAGAAATATATATATATATATATATATAGACACACACACAATGAGAAAGCAACTAAAGAGGAAAAAAATATAGTAGCTATAACATCATAATTTGATGAAAAATTACCTGGTCTATTGCTTGGAAAAAGATTAGTGCTTAAAGATATAAAA